CGACTTCTCCACGCCTCTCATAACCATGCAAAGATGACTGGATTCCATAAGTACAGCTACGCCCTGTGGTTTGAGGATTTCCATAAGGGCATTTGCAACCTCCTTGGTCAGCCTCTCTTGGATCTGGAGGCGACGGCTGAACATTTCGGCAATTCGGGCCAGCTTCGAGAGACCGATGACGGAGTGATAGGGGATGTATCCGATGTGCATCTTCCCTGTGAATGGCAACATGTGGTGCTCGCATATGCTGAAGATCTCAATGTCCTTGACTACCACCATCTCGCTGTGACTCTCGTGGAAGATGGCGTTGTTAACGATATCCTGGATCTTCTCGCCGTAGCCTTTTGTAAGAAACATCAGGGCCTTGGCGTATCGCTCGGGGGTGTTGAGGAGCCCTGACCGGGCTGGGTCTTCACCGACGCATTCAAGGATGGTCCTAACTGCATTACACATCTTGCTAAGTCGCTCTGCTGCTTGCTCAGAAGACTCTTCAAGTCTTGCTTGGGTCCCAATGCCTAAATGACAGCAAATGAGTCCGTTTAGCACAGTAGCAGGAGACGAACAGATTGCCACTGAATGACATACCTGGTCGGCTCAAGCCATCAAAGTCTGGTATCAAACTAGATGATCTCTGTTTCACATCCGGTCCTGACTCCTCCCTCGAACATGGGGAGTCTGGCTTATCACCCGGGTCTCTGGCGGCGTTGGCCATATGCTGTTGCTGCTTTTGGTGATTTTCATCAGAAGGGTTACCCCTACCCCTCGTCTTCTTCGTCCTCTCCCCTCCTAATTCTGAAGCATCACTGTGCTGAAAAATACTCCCGTTGTTGACCGAGGGTGTAGGCGACATCTTGCACCAGCTAAGAGGTCTAGTTGTTTGAGCCTTAGTAAGTAGCAAGGAGCTGATCAAAGTCTTCCAGAACCAAGGGCCTCTCTATCTAAAACAGGAGGGCACTGCCGTTATAATGTCTGGTCTCTGGAGTGACTCACTCTGGGCGGTTGCCTGCAGATTCGTCTTTAACTGCCTTTTGTTTGCACGTTGTTACCCTTCCCAAACATTGCGAAGAGGCCGAGATCAACACAGAGGAGGTCCTGCAATGTAGGCCTCACTACAGCGCATCCAATGATTCTAATCCTATTTCGCTTGAAATGCAATGAGGCCGACAGCCCCTCACATTGCTTTCGGTGTCATAGGCTGTCCAGCATGTTGGCACGGGTTTGTGTAGCACACACGGTTCTGCTTACATCGCCAGCGCTTTACCGACAAAATTTAATACAAGCTTGATTGCCTTTCTAGCAACTAGCTGTCAACAGCACTACATACTTGAAGACTTGCCCACACAAAGCAACCATTTCATCAATTCCACACAAGCACCTCTTCCGACTGCAAAAAACCACATTCTCACACGCAACTTGATCTCAGCTCAAAGCTCAATGGCTACTCTTGACTCCCTTAAGTTGGCACTCAGGGGCAAGGTCAAGGCCACAGGCCCGCCTACTCGTCATCTCCTGTCCGATGAAGAGTACAGCGCCGGATTCGATATCCTCTCGCAGGAAACAAGCTACCAGGACTTTGTCATCCCCCGGCTATCCCAATTGCTCGCGCCCCTCTTCGACTCCCGGGTCCGTGTCTCGGTGCTAGAGATTGGACCGGGCCCAACATCGGTACTGGGTTACTTGCCTGACCGCATGAGACGGAAGATCACAAAATACACCGCACTCGAGCCCAACGTATTGTTCGCTGCAAGACTAGAAAAATGGCTATGCCCTGCATCCCAAGCAACGCCTCCGCTCCCCTGCCTGGACAGCCCACCTGATATCTATCGGGTTCCGTTCGTTGTGGACTCGGAAGGCGCTACTACCGGTGCGCAAGGTCTCGACAGAAAGTTTGATGTTGTCCTCTTCTGTCACAGCATGTATGGCATGAGACCTAAGCATCGCTTCATCCGACAAGCGCTGGACATGCTTCCTGATCAGCCACATGGGGGTTTAGTGGTGGTCTTCCACCGCGAACGTCTGTCCCTGGACGGCCTGGTTTGCCAGCAAATGGCGTGTAACCCTACCGGCGTCGTCCGTGTAGCAGACGACGTCGAGGTAGTCGACCGCTTCGCCGCTTTCATCGCGGGTTTCACCGCACCCGCCACGGCCACCCGAGCGGAGTGGCGCGAGTTGTGCAGCGCCAAGGGCCGCCGCTGCCGTGATGAGAAAGTCGCCAACCAGTTCTATCTCCTTTTCAGTGCACCCACCGTCATGGTGGCGTTCACCAAGCATGCAACGACGGCGTTGCCGGAGCTTGCAGCTGAAGTCCCACTGTTGAGTGGGGACGGAGATGGGAAAGTTAAGAACCGGGAAGCCCGCCTCCGCCGTCCTGCTGCGATTGCGAGGCCGGTAGTGGTCGGACATGTCCAGGCGTGCGTCCGGTGGGCGCTCAAGCACCGTGTTGGATTGAGCGTCATCGGCGGGGGCCACAGCGGCCACTGTCTCTGGCCATGTGTCGTCAGCGTTGACATGCGCGCGTTTGGCCAAGTTCATATCCTTCCTGACCGGGAGGGTTCGGATTCTGGTCCCATGATTATCGCTGGGGCTGGTTGCACGACGGGTGACATCATCCGCAAAGCCATGGCGGTGGGCCTGACCGTACCCCTGGGGGCTCGCCCAAGCGTAGGCGCGGGACTGTGGCTACAAGGCGGTATTGGGCATCTAGCCAGGCTTCACGGCCTTGCGTGCGATGCTATTATTGGTGCCGTGGTGGTCAGCGTCGCTTCCGCCGAGGTTGTCGTCGTCGGTCGTGTGCCGGACCAGTACTGGCCGGCTGGTGCAGTGCACTTGAGCGAGACCGATCTGTTATGGGCTATGAAGGGTGCCGGTAATAATTTTGGCATTGTACTCAGCGTTGCCTTCAAGGCATATGCGGCGCCGACCTACTCTGTTCGAAACTGGGTTGTCAATCTGGGCGACCAGCGCGAGGCGCGGCGCAAGCTCAGTGACTTTGACAGATTGGTAGCCAGACAACTACCCAGGTCCTGTTCTGCCGATGCGTATCTGTACTGGGACAACGGGAGCTTGCGTCTCGGCGTGACTATGTTCGAGACATCTACAGCCGGGACTAGCTGCAAGACACCCCCAGCCGCACTCTCGAACATCGCTGCGATTCTAGGTCCACAAACAAGTTTCCGGACAGTGGATTCCGTCGGTGTGTTCAAAGCCGAGATGTACATGTCCGGGATACATGGCGGGCACGGTGGCGGCAAGACGTCCTCCTTCAAGCGTTGTTTGTTCCTGAAGCACATTGGAGAGACCAACATACCCGACATCCTGACGGCGGCTGTGGAGACGCGCCCTACACCACTCTGTTATCTCCATCTGGTCCATGGCGGCGGAGCAGTCGGCAACCTGGCGGCAGATTCCACCGCATTTGGCTGCCGAGACTGGGACTTCGCCTGTGTGGTGACCGGTGTCTGGCCTCGGGAGCAGGATGGGGCTGAGCCCGCTCGAGCCGCTGTGGACTGGGTCTACAGGGTCGTCGGGGAGTTGCTGCCCGTGAGCTGCGGAGCGTACGGCGCTGACCTCGGGCCAGACCCCCGAGACGCGGAGCTGGCTGTTAGGGCGTTTGGACCAAACTTAGCTCGCCTGGCTCATCTTAAACGCGCCTGCTGGGACCCGTGTAATGTGCTATCGTACGCCTGTCCACTCCCGAGGGCATCCATGGAGCCAAGGCTTATCGTTCTCGTCACCGGGAAGAGCGGCGCCGGAAAGGATTACTGCGCAGACATCTGGGTCTCCGTATTTAATAACAGAGGGTTCAAGGCATGCGCCGTTAGCATTAGCGAAGCGACCAAGCGCGAGTACGCGGCAGCCACTGGCGCTGATGTGAATCGTCTATTACACGAACGTGCCTACAAGGAGCAACACCGACCAGCATTGACAGCCTTTTACCAGAACCAGGTACAGCAACGGCCCCAGCTACCAGAGGAACATTTCTTGGAGGTGGTTAAAAGCGCTGTGGATGTGGACGTGCTGTTCATCACCGGCATGAGGGACGAGGCGCCGGTTACGTTCTTCTCGCACCTGGCACCGGACAGTACACTGGTCGAAGTTTACATTCAAGCTAGCCACAAGACGCGGCAAGCTCGCCGGACTGGCAACCGCGACGATGACCCGGATTCAAGTCCACCACCCTTGAACTACTGCCCCAGTTTCGTCTTCGACAACGACGTAACTGGAGACGGGGCGGTTAGAGCGTTTTCCGAGCACCACCTACTCCCCTTCTTCCACGAAGATCTGCAGCGGCTAGCAGCTATGGTGCGCTCAGTCCCGGACTTTCCACGCCCGGGCATCGAGTTCCGCCACGTGCTCGGGATCTCCCAGCAACCGGGCGGGCTGGCCTTGTGCACCGCCCTGCTGGAACGTCACTTCTCCCGCCAGTGGTCTGCGGTCGACGTGGTGGCATGTTGCGAGGCCGGTGGTTTTATCTATGCGTCGGCGCTGGCGGCCCGAGTCGACGTGCCCTTGGCGCTGATCCGCGAGGCTGGCAAGCTGCCCCCGCCTACCGTATCCATTGCCAAGTCCGCGTCATATATCTCAGCCTCGGCATCCAATCACGACTCCAAGGCAAGGATCGAGATTGACCAGGATTTGGTCCGTAAGGGTGCGTCTGTGCTGGTGGTGGATGATGTTCTCGCCACGGGAAAGACGCTCTGTGCGGTCCTCCAGCTGTTGGGTGAAGCTGGCGTCGATCCCGAAAATGTGAGTGTCATGGTCGTGGCCGAGTTTCCTGTTCACCGTGGCCGGGAACTGCTGCACCGGCATGGTTTTGGCAGAGTTAATGTTCAGAGTCTCTTGGTCTTTGGTGGCATATAGGCGGCGAAAACACCTAGCAGAGGAAGGGGGGTCTCTGACCGCATGTTCTGCCTTATGACATTGCAGTCCGGCACTAGCAAATTCAGGTTTCATGACAACATCATGGTACCTAGCCGGTGTTATAATGTTTCCTAGCCGGTGTCCAATGTTTATTTGATGGTAGGTACTTGCTAGTGCCGGACTATGATGTCATGGACAGACTATGTGGATAAAGACCCCCCCCCTTCCTCTGCTAGGCCCTTCCTCTGCTAGGCAGGGACATGTATAGACATACGGATTCTAGTCAATTCAACCACTACTTGGCTACTGCTCGCCAATCAGTATTCTCAATAAGTCAAGTAAGTCAAGTGACGCTTCCAACTTGGCTTACTTGGCTAGGTATTTTTATCGTATACTCGCCTTACTTGCAAGTTACTTGAGTCGACTTGTTTACTTGCCAAGACCTTTGGAAGAGGTTATTGCGAGCCGAAACCGCGCGCGATTCGAAAAGACCTCGGATTTGAGCGATAAATAGCCAGTTGAAGATGGGAAAAAGTCGCCAGAGCATGGAAAATGTCGCCAATATGTAGGTGACCGACGGGTAGGTAGATGGGTGGCCAACGGAGGACGGGAATTATCACCACTTTTCTACTGAACTGGTTAAAAAGTGGGGAGTATCCACAGGCAAGTAAGTACATACAGAGGACCCTCGATTTGGTTACTTGACTTATTCTGAAGGCCGACTTGGCTTACTTGCTGGCTGGTCGACTTGCCTTGCCTTGAGTAAGGTATTGGACATGACTTATTGAGAACGCTGTCGCCAATCGCACTGTGTCGGAGAAGACGGAGGAAGGAAGAGAGGTCAACGTAGTGGAATTGTCAGGGCTACTGAAGAAAGCAAGAAAAGGAGGGGAAATCCCAGGGCCAACGTATAGGCCAGAAATAGGGGCGTGTGGCTGGCTGAGGTAAGCAGCCAGTGTGGGCCGGGCCCAGGCCCACACGACGCTAACTGATCAGCCCGAGCCCTATTTTTTTGAACGCGTCTGACAAGTCAGTAACGTCCCTCTCAAAATGCTCCGGTTCCAGCACCCTCCTCAGCATCGGAAATACCCTCGAATCCCCACAGATATCCCCGAGCACCTCCATTCCATTTAGCATGCTCTCTAACTGCGGCAACATGTCAGGAGAGAACTTCTCGGCAATACCTATCGGGGTGCAGGTCGCCCCGTCAATCACGGCCTGACTGAATGGCGAGAGCCCCAGACCTAGAAACACGCGCAGTTGCTTCAGCCTACCATAGCGGCAGCATAGGTGCTGCAGGCCCCAACCTTTAGGCATTGCCTGGGTGACGTTGCTCTCATCGAGCAGCAGGAGGCGGCGGGTGAGTTGGCCATCGTCGTCTCCGCCGTGCTTGATGACGGTCAGAAGCATGAAGAAGAGGACCACATGGCGCGTTTTCGGATTCTCGGGCAGGTAATCGAGTAGCAGCGGGATCACGTCGGCCGGGGGACCGCGGTCGAAGTCGTCTGAGCAGATGAGTATCTCGGGCACGAGCTCCGGGAGTAGGCGTTTGATGATACGGGACGCCTTCTTCTGCCCCACGGCAGTTTGCGTGGCCTCGATGATACGGCGCAGTATTGGTGCGCGATTCGGGGTTTTGAGTGCGAGTGCCGCGGTGACTACAAGATGGTTGGAGCGTGGCTTGATCCAATCTACCTCGGTCCGTTCCAGGAGGGCTTCGATAGTTTGAAGGTCACACGCCCCACTATGGATGGCCGCCGCAAGTGCACTGTGGCCGCGTCGGTTGGTTTTGTTCGGGTCAGCGCCGGCCTCAAGAAGAACAGTTACCGCGTCGCGGAAACCTACTTCGCATGCGCAATGCAAGGGCGTCCTCCCGTCCGCGGCAGCCCGGTTCGGTTGCGCGCCATGGGAGAGCAAGACCTTGACCACCGCGACAGCTTTGAAGAACGCGGCAATGTGGAGCGGTGTGTTGAGGTATCTATCCGTGGCCGAGGGCGAAATGCCTTTCTCGAGCAACCAAACAGCGACAGCGTCTTGGTTGAACTGGGCCGCGCGGTGAAGAAGCGTCTCGCCATTGGTACTGGCCTTAGATACTTCACACCCGGCTGCCACGAGATATTCCAGCAGGCGGAGGTCCCGATGGACCGACCCTGACACGACGTAGTGCAACGGCGTCTGCCCAATCCGATCTCGGTGCTCGACAATGCATTGGGCGGCGAGCAGCTCCTGCACCACATCGACGTGGCCCCCATAAGCGGCGAGGTCCAGCACGGTCCGGCCCATGTCGTCTTCGTGGGTGAGACTCCAGCCATGGGACAGTAAAATCTGAACTAGAGGCACGTTTCCAAAATACGCAGCCAGATGGAGTGCCGTCCACCGATGTGGGCGAACACCAAAGCTTCGAATCGTCTTGGAGATGCTACCGAGCTCCAGCAGCCGGGATGCCCCCCTGACGAACCCGTATTCGGCGCATACGCACACCAAGAGGGCTCTCTTGAGTTCGTCAACATCTTCCAGGCGTTCTCCGCGGCCGTGTTCCACCAGGACCGCACAGAGCCGGGTCATTGCAGGTTCGCCAGTCTCCATCAGTATCGGGATATCAGGTTCACCCACACTGAAGCGCCACCCGAGGCGCGAGTCAGCCCCTCCAGCTCCGCTGCTACCCTTGTCACTCCTGCTGTTGGTAGCTTCCTCGCCACTACTGTCCCGATCATTGCTCATTTCATCAACAGTCGACATGTTCTTGACGATGAATTCAAGGAAAGACACTCGGCTGCCCCTGAGCCTTGCGCCAACGACGCTGACCAGACTCGGATCGACCCTTGCTCCATGTTGTATAAACAACTCCATAATTCTCTGCCGACCCTTCGATGCCGCCATTCTCATGGAATATCCCTTGTCAAAATTGGGATCTAAGCCACCCATGAGAAGAGTCTTGACGGCTTCGACGTGATTGTATGTAGAGTAGGTACCAATGTTAGTTCATCATTTTTTGTCACGGGAATTAACTCTTACTGATTATTGCGAAATGTGCAGTTGTGGCGCCCGCCTCGTCCAGCGCGTTTGGGTTGCCACCTCGGTCAAGAAGCAACTGTATCAGTTCGGGGATGCCATCTTGGGCTGCCAGATGTAGGAGCGTCCGCCGCATTTCGTTGCGCCGCATGACGTGGTTGACGTCCGCGCCGGCCTCCAGCAGGACCCGAACGTTGGCGATTTTCTGACCCTGTATGGCCGCCATAAGTGGACTGCCGTTCCATACTCTGTCCGTAGCGTCGACTTGAGCGCCGGCGTCGATGAGATACTTGACGACGCTGCCATCGCTACACGCCCCCCTTTGGGCAGCGATGTGCAGGACCGTCGCTCCGCCAAGGTCTTTTTCCTTCGCACTAGCACCAGCCTTGATTAGACGCTCAACGGGGCCGATGTCTTCGGCTTCCTCGCAAACGTAATGGAGAAACGGTCGACCTAACCGGGAGTGCATTCGGTTGACACCCCAGCCGGCCTCGCGAAACGCCTCGAGTACCTTCTCCTGCCTCTTGACATACGCCTTTGCCATCAGCCGGAGCACGTCGTACTCCTGCATAGGGTCCATCTCGGCGGGAAGCGCATTTTTGATGAGCATTTCAGCCATCTCTTCGTCGGTTCGATCCAATGCGACTTGTAGAGGGTGCGGCTGCTTTAGGTTCTCCTGATCCTTGACAATCTTGTTTCCCGTCACAGCCGATGCATCGTCGCCAGAAGCGACCGAATCAATGTCATCGCCCGCCTCTGAATCCGAGTCTGCATCGTTAAGACTGGGAACTTGCTGCCGGGCGAGAATATCGGCTCCCGAGCCCACCAAGAGTGCGCCAAGCTCGACCGATCCCGGCGAGCCGAGTTCGGCTGCCACGTGAAGTGGTGTCTTGCCATCATCGTTGCGCGTATCCACTGGGAAATTAGATTCAAGGAGGTAACCGACGAGTTCAATGTCGCTTTTCCGAACGGCGAGGTGTAGAATGCTGTCTCCGAACGGATTGTCGCATGCGTAGGCCTGCAGGAAAGCCTCCGCATCTTGTCGCTCCGACCATGGAGACGCAGCCATGGTGACTGCTTGGTTGTCCTGGGAAGCTCAGTTGCGTTGAGAACCTGAGTTGCGACACAGAACAGAGGTAGTGAACCCGACAAATAGAGGAAAAACGAGCTGGCTCGGAGGGGTCGGACGGAGCAAGCCAGCTGAGGATGAGGCTCTTGCCGCCGCGGGGATGGAGCGCAGTCCGTGTGACCGTGTTGCCACCCGCAGGAGAATATTGGAAGTTGGCGTGGTGTGATCTGGGATGCGATTGGACATTGTCCTTGGGGCTGCTTTCAGCCCTTCACGGAGGAGCTAGGTTGGGAACGCTCTGACGCTCCTGCTTCCGCTCACCGCAATCTGCTCATCATCCCACACCCCCACACTTGTCACGGTCTTCTCGGAGGAGAGGAATAGGGTCCTCGAATTTCCCGTCCCAAGCCAGATTCTCCGCACCGTGACAGCAATGGCGTCCTTCACCAAAGACCAGGAGGAATATGCTTCATACACCTGCGACAACGCAGGCGACCAAATCAACCAGGATGTCAAGAGCCCGATCTTGCCCTCCGAAAATTCCAAACATGGACGGAGAGAAACCGCCCCTGGGCACACAATACTTTCGGCCCTGCCTTCGACAGCCAGCGAAAACCTCCCCATCACGTACCAGTTAATGCTGCTGATCAACCAAGCCAAGTTCAACGGTGGAATTGTCAGCACCGGATTTGGAATGCAAGACTTCGCTGCGCATGGCTCCCGCCAGGTCGCCCGAGGGGGCTACTTCCAGACGCGTGAGTTCGACGGTCTCGGTGTGGCCAAGTATCCCATCTTTGCTACGGCCTCGACTGAGCTCTCGGCCAAAAGCTACAAGGCCGTCGCGAACGAGTTGCGTGTCCTCTCGCATCCCCCGCTCATGAAGCATCAAAATATCGTCAATATCATGACCATCGGCTGGACCAGACTGGACCCTGTCGCTCCCACCTGGATGCCCATGATCTTCCTCGAACCGGCCGACCTCGGCACCTTGACCAAGTATTTGTCCGACAACCGCCCAGGGGTGGACTCAAAACTGGACATTGCACGCGATGTGGGGGCAGGACTGCAGGCGCTGCATGCTTGCGGGATTATGCACGGAGACCTCAAGATGGACAACGTCTTGATGTTCAAGGGAGAGAATGGCAAGGTTCGGGCCAAGCTCTGCGACTTTGGGTGTTCCTACATTATGAAGTCCCGCGAAAATGAGGACGAGAGCGCTGAGGTGGAAATCACGACGGGCACAAAGCCGTGGAACTCCCCCGAGCTGAACCGCAAGGTTCCGGTTTCGCTTCTGCGAAACGTGGACGCATATTCCTTTGGCCTGCTGGTTTGGAGCGTGTTCCTCAATGGGCGCAACCCGTTTGAAGGGATGGACGAGGACGACATTGACCACCGCAAGGCGCAGGATCTCATAATTTCGGACGCTTCACTGTCACTTGAGGACCAATACAACAAGAACACGATTCTCCAGGGCAAGCTTTCCAGCCACGACAGAACTCACCTCTACATGCGAGTTGCAATGCCGAAGCGATGCTTTCGGTACACCTTGGCTTGGGCGGTTCAAGACCGCGATTTGGATACCGCCATAAACAGCCTGTCGTTTGAGAATCTCTATGGGTAAGGACGTATCCCAAGACAATATTCTGTTTTCGCCTTCTAACCGAAAATACCTCTAGGATGGTAGGATCCAAGGATGACATGATCTTGGAAACGTCAAGGGTTACCTTCGGTACGGTGAGTACCTTACCTAATTTATTAAACCACTTAATTCTCTGCGAAAAGATGATAACTGACGCGTCTTAATCCAGACTGGGATTGAGTTTCTCAGACTCTTCGACATCCCGTGGACCGCCAAGGTCATGTTCCTCCGATCCCTCGAGCAAATAGCAGCAGACGAAAGCAACTCAGACGATACGAGAGCCGGGGCCTATCTGCAGCTCTGCTACGCGCACCTCGACTCATTCGGGACATCCACCGACTTTGAAAAGGGGATTAGATGCCTAAAGGCAGCCGCAGGACTTGGTTCCACTACAGCTGCCTCCATTCTTCACCCCCTAATCCTTGCGACCGGACATACGATTGACCCTGAAATTGAGAAGAGTTTGAAGGAATGGTTGGTCAAGGCAGTGGCCGCTGGCTCCTTGTTAGCTCGCAGAGAGCTTCAAATGTTGGACGAGGATCCAGCGACTTTGAGAAAGGCTGAGGAAGAACGCAGGTTGTGGATGGGGGCAAAGACGCCTACCGCCAACGGGTTCGCTGATGCCGAACATGTCGACAAGATGTTTCTTCCGATAAATCTACCGGTGCTGCAGGTGCTTCTCGGTGCTGGCCAAGAATCTGTCCTTGAGCCACTGGGCGGCCGCCAGTTGAGGTTCATGAGTCTCTCCAAGAACACATATCTCCATGCCGGAGCCGCGTTGGGCGTTGACCACGATCACTTTCGCAGTGCCATCTCCGTGGTGGATGACGAGACGGTCAACGCTCAGGATCAGGCTGGGAACACAGCACTCCATCTGGCCATCCAGTTTGGAAACGTCAAGATAGCTCAAATCCTTCTGGAAATGGGTGCAAGTGCATCGCTGACTAACAAACGCGGGGAGACGCCATGGCATTGGCTCATATCCTTGGGCGATGAGGATGTTCGTCTGCTGACGCTCCTGATGAGGGACGATGCCGAGGGTCTTGAGAGCTTCGCAGCGGGGAGAAATACCCTCGACAATCAATACGCGGTCGAACACGGCGGGACGCCGCTGCATTGGGCTGTGCAGATGAACCGTCATACTATGGCCGTCGAACTTCTCGACTGCGGCGCTGACCCGCTCCTTGAATATCGAGGCTTGTCGCCCATCGACCTGGCCATCGACCGCAATGCGCCTGAGCTTTTGGAATTGCTTCTCCAGTCCGCTGCCGAGAGCGGGCGGGATGTCTTGCCAATGCGGACGTTGACCGACTTGACAAACACCCATAACCCCATTGACAAAAACGAGTCGAGCGTCGACAGCCTGCTCCTCCAGGCAACTCTCATCCGACCCATGCACGAGCGCCTCTTGTACGGCGGCTCTGCTTGGCTTGCTGGTCAGACATCGACACTGAAGATTCTCCACGAGCACGGGCATTTGCCATCGTGGGACGAGGAAAACAATCAGGCCAGGTTGGGTGCGTTTCGCGTACTCAGCTTCTCCAGCACTACGGGACCTGAGATGATGGACGCGATGATCGAAGTAGCAGGAATTTTTCCCAGCAGTCCCGAGAGTGATGTAAAGGATGATTCTGGGAGCACCGACGAGGCCGCCCTGAAATTCTGGAAGACCGCCTTGCAGAACATCGTCAAGACTAGCACGCCCACCATGCTGCATTATACGATTCAAAAAGTTCGGGAATACTCATCGACTTCCCGCCTCGACGATGCAGACGCGCTTCTCTATCAATACTGCGCCTCCCTTACAGCCGACGTATCCGTGGTCGAGACCCTCTTGAAGGACTGTTCCAGTGTGGACTGCGCCACCGAGGATGGACGTACTCCGTTGATGAACGCGGTGCGCAACCGCAATTTTGAGATTGCCACGTACCTTCTTGAGCGCGGTGCCGACCCGGGTCGCTGGTGGGTCAACAATGACGACGACAAGGAACGCCTACATGTATACATACTGTACGAGTACGTCGTCAACAACACCGACGTTGACGTCGTCCCGCTCAAGTACCTCCTCGAACCGACGCACCCATTCCCAGACAAGATGCCACCATTCCTCATCGGACCCGACAGCAAAGACACTGTGCTCCACCAAGCCTGCAAAGACGGAAACCCCGTCATCGTGGACTACCTGCTCTCCAAGTTTTGCTCAGAGGACCACATAAACCACCACGGCGAGGGCGGCTTCACCGCGCTGCACCATGCCGTCTTCAACGGTCACGCCGACCTGGTCGCGAAGCTCTGCGAAGCCGGTGCCGATGTTAACGTCAGGAGCGGCGTCAGCAACATGATGAACCGGCTACGCACACGCCCACTCGATCTCTGCTTCTGGCGGGCGACACAGAGTGTGGAGTTTTTGGCCAGAAAGTTCGGGCTCGAGCGGACAAAGGAGGATATCTATCTCGGCCGCTTGCGCATCGCCGACCTCCTGCAGCGGCGCTACGGTGCGCGCCGCGCGGACCGCTTCCTCGCGCACCGCAGCGTGGCCATGAGCCTTGCTGTCGGTGCCGCTGAGAAGGGCTTGATCCGGTTGCTGGCCGAAGCCCTCCGCATCGTGGGCAAAGAGATGGTCTCGACCGGCTACAGGCATGTCGACTTTCCGATTTTACTGACGAACCTGCTTTGGCTTGCCGCGACGAAGGGCCATGTTAGTGCGACGCGTCTTTTGCTCGGTCTCGGCGCCGATCCGAATCAGCGGTCACCCAAGGGAGTCTCACTTCTGCATATGGTGGCGGGGCTGGGCCTGGCAGAGGTGGTGTACGTCCTGGTCAAAAAGGGCGGTGCTGACATCAACGCCGAAGATCCCGCGGGGGAGTCGGTGGCGTCGTATTCAATGAGGTCGAACGACGTTGCAACGGTTCGAATGGCGAAGAGCCTAGGTGGGTATTTTACCATGCCCAGGGCCAGTATGGCGAGAGCTCTTGGCTTTGAGCCACCTTTCAGCGTCAAGTTTACTGTCAAGGTTGGTGGCGAACCGAGCGATGACGAACTTGGTGACTCGGACGAGGAAGAGAAGACCAGTGGAGGCGCAGAAGGCGACGAAGATGACGACGGCGACGAAAGCGATAGTGGTCCCGACGATGGACCTCGGCCGGAGGAGCACGGGGTTAGTACGCAGGGTTGAAAACTCAGGGAATCCGCTCTAGGGCGCGGAATTACTTACCACCCAGTCAGGTGGCTGACTGTACCGACTTTCAAGACTCGGGCGTCTTCATGTATCATATCAGGGAACCAATCTGCTAGCGTTCGAACACGAAGACCACCTTACTGCGCCTGTTTGCAGCACCCACGCAATACGCTATAAACATGTAAGTAAAACAGCTCCGCCAGGTTACCTCCACGCTTCTCCTCATCGTCCATCTGCATCGCATCCTCCTCTGCTTCCTGACCCTCTCCGGACCCGTAAGCGCCCGTCCAAATCTCGTCTCCATCCAGACAAGCCATGACAGCCGCCTTGTAAGCCTCGCCCATGCGATGGGCCATCTCACGCCCGCATACGTGTAACAGCCGCCGCCGGAACTCGCCTGCGTCCGCGCCAGACCCGGACTCAGATACAGACGAGCTGTAATAGTGCGCATCCTGCCACGTGCCGATCTCGGAGAGCACGACTCCGAGCGAGAAAATATCGAAGCGCTGCTCAAATCGGCGGTGGTGTCCTGATGCGCCCCGCTGGTAAAGTGTTAACCTTGCGCGGAGTAGGAAAAAGGAAGAAACAGAAAAAAAGACTTACCAACTCAGGATGCTGCCAAAACCGCCACGGCGACAACCCCCCATCTCGCAGGTCAATGGTGCGCTCACCAGGGCGTTCACGGCGCGCAAGCCCGAACCCGAGGAGCTGCGGCGAGTCAAAGCCTATGCGGCTCAAGTTTCCCATAGGGACGACGTCGCGGGACTGATAGAGGACAACATTGTGGCTCGTAATCGTCTTATGCATCCAGTCGACGCTGAGGAGCGAGAGGACAGCGTCGGCGAGCGCCACAGCCAGTTCGTAGCGCTGTTCGAGGGACGGGAGGACCATGTTGTTGTTACCAGAGGGTGTGCTAGGCTTCTCGGCTCCGATGGAGTACTTATTGCGTGGGAGAAAGGAGTAGAGAGAGCGGGGCGGTTGGGACGGAGCGGCGAAGGGCGGAAGCTGGTACACGAGAGCGAAGGATGTTCGACTCTGGCGGAAGAAGCCGGTGCAGAGCGGGAGAGCTGGGAAGTAAGGGTGGCCAGCGCTGCGGAGGAGAGTGCAGAGGATGGCGTAGCGCTCGTTGAGAAGTTCGAGGTCTTCCTCTGTTAGGGACGGGGGAAAGGTGACCCATTCAAGGATTACAGATTGGATATCATGTTCAGACGTCTTGTGCCGCGCCATAACCCTCTTGGAGATACCGGTGGCCGCACCTAAGTAATCAATGTCAAATATAAGCGTCGCGCTATTTAACACAACCTCCTCCAGCTCTTTAGCAGAGATGTCTTGCGAGCTCTCGTCTACTCTCCGGGCCTTGACCATCATGGCTTGGTAGATCTGGTCGTGGAGCTGGTTGTGCACTGAGGACGTAGCGCCACCAATACCCCTGAGTTCCGAGGGCGATTCCGAGAGCGACAACGCCTTTACATTGATGAGTCTGTCTGCTGCGTGCCGTTGCTGCTGGGGTAGGAGTTCCCTGAGCGCATCGTTGCAGGACTTAAGTGTCTGGATGTGTGCCATGACCCTGTCACGGTCGTTGGTGTCGTCCTTGAGCGACCAGGTGAACGTCACTTTGCGGAAGAAGCTGGTTGTCTTTGCCCGGCGCTGACGAAGGCCCATGTCCTTTGCGACCTCAGCAGCCACCCGCGGGTTCCGGAATAGTGGTAGGCTACCGGGGAGATCGCTCCTGGCCCCAAGGCCCACATCCGAAGGGCTCGGGCTGCTAGGGGTGTCGGCATTGCCATTGTCATCCTGAAGCGAATACTTTTCACGCAGTTTCTGGAGCGCCTGAAGACACTGGTAAACCTGGCTGATGACGGTCAGCACGTGGCTCTCGACCCGATGGTACTCCATTGTGAGGCCCTGCGCGTCGGCCGCGACGAGGATGGCTCGCCGCAGGGAGCTCTCGCTGACGACGAGGGAGCGCGAGACCGGGTCGACGACAAACAAGCCGCTCTGCTGAAGCCATGTTTCAAACCGAAAATACTCGATTGCGATTAACGCCGACAGAGTACCTTCAGTTTGCCAGTTCAATTAGCATGAGGTGGAATTCTCAAGAGTCCTGTGCAACTGGCATCGCACCTGCGCTCTCTGCAAACTTGCGGGCCGAGGATACATGACGGAAGAGATGAAATGCCTGCACGAGCAGCGATGTCGCCGCGCCTACGCTGCCGAAGGCGTCCATGTTTCGGGGTGGGGTCCGGTGGGTGTCACAATGTCACCTTACGATTTCATGTTGGCATCCCAGTCTTGGGAATAGAACTCCTTGTTTGTGCGTTACCGGTTTGCAAGGCGAAAAGAAGGCTTTATAGGTCGAGGGTATGTTGTGCTTCGAGCAGCAGCAGCAAGAAAAAGGAGGTGAGAAAAGCGGGGGATATGCAAGTCTTCGGTGGTCGAGCAGTTCAGAGCCTTTTAGCATCCTAGGGTGATGTTCTAGGTAAGAGAATTGGAGCGTGCTCTAGAGGGATTGCGTTCTAGAATTACCTAGTCAGTAGGTCCACATTTTAAGCAAAAGGGGTCTACCTTTATAGGCAATAGTTAACTACAATTAAGTAGTGTTCAATGGTCGTGGTCCGGGCGGGGCCGCCCCTCCCACCTCTGGCAGAACCCGACGTGTGAGGCAGGGCCCCACCAAGAGGTGCCCACAATTTCTACAGGGGGCACGGGCCGCCCAGGCCGGGGTGCCCGCCAACCTAGGCTTCAACCATGTCACGGAATGACCATTGTTGGCGGCCTGAGAGCCGTCGCCAGGACCAAAGGATGCCTGGCAGCCAATCGCTTAAGGAACCAATCAGGAAGTTATCACTGGCAAGGCAAGGCACGTGTGGTGATAATTAGGGAAGTTCACCATCATCACGGACGATACTGGTGATAATCGACATTATCACCAGTGAACATAGTGAAACGGAGCATTATATATACTAGCTAGCTAGTCACTCGTTAGGAGGACCTTCAGAAGGTTCTCAAGTAAGCAATGCAAGCAGTTGTCTTTACTACTGTGTGAACACTTGCTTGTGCACTTGTTGTAGACCCTTTGGCTCTACCGAACCTCACCCCGTTCAAGTCGACCTTCAGTCTGAGGA